AAACAGAGAGGAATCCGAAAGATGAGTCAATATGAAATTCCACAAGGAAACAACCAGGAAACCTACTTGTTCAGTCTCAGTGCGAACTCTGTACTGGCACTGCCTCTGCGCATAGGGATTGGTATCGTGTAATGGGTGCGGTTCATAGACAGGAAGCGACTTTTGGCGTTTTTCCGTGCGAAACATTTTTCGCTGTGAGAGCCTCGGGCCCATTGATGATTCGCTGTGGGAACCTCGGGTTCACTGATGATCAGCGGTGAACCTGAGGTTCCCGCAGCGAAAAATGTTCCGTGCTGCGGAACGCGTAAAATTCGCTTTCTGTCCAAGTGAACCCACCCATTGTATTTGCCGTCTCTTTGCGAGAGTGAGCGGAAGTAAGAACGGCCTCTACGACGCCAGAAATAAATATAACCTTAGGAGAGGGAGAACATGCAGTGACACTTTGAAAAATAACCAACATTTTATCGGCATGATCCTTAAATTTGATCACACACCACCTCATTCCTTGGGAGCATTTGAGGGCTATCACTTGAGTAGGCAGATTTGCGACAATACTGGACCGGTCAAACCGATGATTCTGGCAACTACGTTACAAGCCTGGGTAGCCATTATTTTGAACATGCTAACAGTTAGGACATTAACATACTGCCTGTTCCAATAAATACGGCTCCGTGGCGGCCGAGTCCTTATGCTGTGCCCACTACTGCTAATGTAGTTGTTCCCACGGTGTGTTTGATTACTGTTTTCCCTCATACCAATGGACAATCTCCTGTAACGGTGGCAAATTTTGACATTTTTCAAGGCGGTTTATTGCAGATTGGATACGATCCATCTGGAGGCGTACCAGTAGATCCTTCTTCGGCAGCTGCCGTTCCGCGGCAACCCATAATGCGTGGTGGGATGCGTGGACGTGGTCGTGGCGGACCAGCAACAGGAAGATTTCCTCAAGTATCGAGTAATCGTGGAGATGGCAAGACTTTGCAGGTATGAACTAATTTAATTCAGCAACCAATAATTTGTTTGTTGATCTCAATAAGCGACATACTGCGGAATTCTTTAGATTCGTTGTGCATAACTGATTTGCGTTAGTAAGTGGAGGTCTAATGTGGGATTAGGAGTATTCTGAAATGTTACGGGCTTTGATCAGTTGGAAGCTGCAGGAATTATGATAATGCACCGCCAAAACTATTTTCTAGTTTTTTAAAACGGTTGTTCATTCTTTGTTCAGGTCAAGAAGATACCGCCAGAGCTTAATAATATTGCTAAGTTGAATGAGCATTTTGCAACGTTTGGAAGTATCGTTAACATGCAGGTACTGGGTAAAAGTTCCCATTCTGTTGACATGTATATCATAGTCTTCCTTGAAGGTGCGTTTCAACGGAGAGCCTGACTCAGCTTTGATTTCCTATGCATCGCGCCATGAAGCAATGGCCGCGTACAAATCACCTCAACCTGTTTTGAACAATCGCTTCATTAAAGTGTTCTTCTACAACCCGGATGTTGTCGCCGGATCAGCTATTGGGCAAGATGTATGAGTAGGTTACTTTCCGATCTCTATTGGACTTAAAATTTATTCTTTGATTGACCACTTTTAGGGCCCTCCTAAGGTGCTACTTGTATCTGGCCTTAGAAATAACTCATGGTTAACGTTTCTATTACGTGTCAATAATTCGTTTCGTTCAGATGGCAACTATTGAGAACTCGAAATTTGTCAACCAGGAGTTGAAGGAAACTCGTGAGAAGATTATAGAAGCAAAACGCAAACTGAAAGCTGAGAAGGTGCCAAGCGATGAATTTCCTACTAGTCGTTCTTGTCATTTTGCGTCAACATCTGTTTACAGGCAGCCCAGATCTCACTTTTCAACGTGCATAAGCGTCAAACTGATTTGCTTCAAAAATTGGTGGATCGTCAAAAAGTGGTGGTGATGAAGGTATTCAAAGCTATGAGTTAGGGTTCTACCGCTGCAATGTTATACATTTTAGTTAAAAACGGAGACCGATACTCTGGAGCCTGCTGAAAAGAAAAAGCTCCTAGGCGTTGTTAAAAAGATGATGGATAAAGTTACTGCAGGAAGGAAGGAGGTAAATGTAAACTAGCATCTTCTCATATCTAGATCTTCTGAAATATCTTCTCATCATTAATGGTTGTCATGGAAGAAACTAGAAGAGATCACTCGATGATGTTCCATTTATAGATTCATGATCTCTCGGCAAAGCTGAAGAGCTGCACTGAGAGCATTGCTGAATTGGAGAAAGTAATTGCGTCAGAAACAACATCCCATAAAGAAAAGAGCTCCAACAGTGATGGGAGGGATAGTGCGAGCCCATCGTCTCCAAAACAGGAAGGAAAGGTAGCTATGTTCCCAACACAAAACTTCCTCAAGCGAAAGGCACAAGACGGTGAGAATGCTGTTCCCATATTACAAGTTCAAGCAATATTCAAATGTGTAACCTTACTAATATTAATTTGTTATTTTCCAGGTGGCGACGTTGAAGCGCGTTTCCACAGTGGTGGCAGTAAGGGGAAGGTATGGTTTTGAATTACCTTGTTATTTATTCGATTCTCTTCATTCTTTATTGTTAAGCCTGATGACACAGAAGCACTGGTAGAGCATATGAGTCAATATGGTGACATTCTAAATTGTTGAAGCAGTCAGAGGGAAGGATCCTATGGTGCTTTTGACGTTCCGTAGCAGGGAAGACGCGGACCAGGTACGTAATTTGTGTAATTAATAATTTTGGGAAATATTGCTGAGCTCATGCAATACTACAGGCCGTCATGGATGGGGGATTGTTCAAAGGAGCGATGCTGGATGTGACATGGCATCGGCGCTCTGGAGGCTCTGGTGAAAATTCGCCATTAAGTGCAGACAAGATGCTAGCCAGCATACTACAGAGTGAGGTATGCTGCAGCTATACGCTTATTTCTTTGGAATATTTTTCTGCGCAGTATGGTAAGCCCCGTCAGATGTGTTGCTGTAGTGGAGTACTGCGCGCTACGACTACTCTAATTCCACAAAGAAGTGAATGTATTTTTTAGTCGGATGACGAATGTAAAAAGGATTAAGTCTTCTATCAATGTTCGGATATTCTACGAGGTAACAAGCAAGGGACGCTCTGCTGTGACGGTCTTTTGTATCCAGAATCCCTTATTTCGCGGTGGTGATGCGATTTTTCTTCGATCTGTTATAAAAACCACTATCATTGTTGTAGGTTGTGGTCTTAGTGGTCGTTGTAAAACTGAGTGTTATTGATTTCAACTTTTAAATTGTAACCAGATTTTGTCGATGCATCTTTAGTTTTCGTTGTCATGAATATTTAGCTAGTGTAATTCAAATTTTTTATATCTGTTGTCATTTTAAGCATGCCAGAGATCGGAAATTCTCCAAAAGTTAATAAAATATCACAGGATGAGGGGCCAAGAAAGACAAGAAATCAGAGCAGAAAGGCAAAAGCGCTCATAAGATGAAGGAGATATATATAGAGATCAATCTGATCATTTTTTATGGACATGTTTTTTATGTTTTGCATTGTATATACTGTGTGTTCGTTAATTCTGTTTTTCTCGTGTGCAGTAGGTGCTTCGATCGGCTACTTACGATTTCAGACGTGATGCGGGTTCTACATACATCTCACTTCTCTTGAATAAACTATTCATCCTCATGTGTTTTTCTCTTCTCTTGAATAAACTATTCATCCTCATCTGTCAGAATAAATATTAAACAAATTTACGAAAGCCTAGAAAGTAGCGGAGGAGCGGATTACTTAGACGAAAAAGCCCCTAATCAAGTGTGTCGTCCAGGGATGGAAAGTGAAAAGATGGCATCAGGGTGGCTAGCACATACAAGATGACTCACAAAAGGTCCGCACAAGAAGTTCAGGTACTGCTAGTCCCTGTAGGCCCATTGTGATGTGCCTGTTATGGTCAGCGCTACAACGATTCGCTTGTAGGAGCTGTGACCGGCCGAAATAGGGGAATTCGGGCAATTGAATTCAAAATCCAGGCAAGCAAATTTTCGATGGTTCCATTGCAGAAGTGGGTGCTATAAAGTGGCCGTGGTAATTGCTTGCCGCAACTGAGTAACGTTTTTTTTCGTAAAAATCCATGATCATTTCACAACTTACTTGTTAGTGAAAGGCGGCAATTAGCCAACCCTACTGACTTGAGTTTGCCTAAATGAAACTTCCTCTACGAACAAAACCCAAGAATTATGTAATTTCCATTTTTGGCAAAGTTCTGCCACTGGAAGATTTCTACTAAAACATGATCACCTCCACAAAAATCGTAGAACGTGTGAATAATTGAAAGTAATTCCATCTACTCATGCAATTATCAAGAAAGTAAAAAAAAGAAACAAAAGAAGCGAGAAAGAAAGAGAGGAAGACAATGCAAGTCGGCAACAGTCAGCTGCTTTTCTGGCGGCATCGATTGATGTCCGGGAAATAGCACAGTTGGCATTGGGCCAGTTTTACGGACAACTCGTCCGAAGAAGGCGTCGCTCATCTACTAGTGGCTTGTAAGCCGTCAAAGAAGAAGGGAATCCTTTTTTGAGTGTTTTACGCGGTTTTTCTTCCTCATTTCTTCTATATCAATCCCAATAAACATCCGAAATGTCATATACAGACAGAAAACGCCCAAGTCTAATCCCGGAATTTGCCTTTAATTTTACAAGTGTTTAAAATTTGTCCACAT